ACACATGCATGCAAGTACCGGGGCTTGAACTCAGAGCCTTGCACTTTCACTCAAGGCTGATGCTCTGACACTTGAGCCACACCTCCACATCAGGCTTTACATTGGCTAGTTAGAAATAAAGAGTCTCGCAGACTTTCTTGGCAAGCTGGCTTTGAACCTCCATCCTCAGATCTCAGCCACTTGGGTAACAGGGATTAAAGGTGTGAGCCATTGGTCCCTAGGTTTACTTCATTTCTTAAGGGTCTTTACTTTGGAGAGGGTCTCTGTGGGCTGATTGTTTGGAGAACCTGTAGCAGTTCAGATAATCAGGAATACAGTGTTTGATGCTGGATGATTGCAGACACTTGAATGGCATCCTTGGTAACTCGGTTAATTTAGTATGTACTTTGTTTACGCGTTCCTCACCCTTGTGAACTAAGGAAGGAGCCCTTGATTTCTAGTTCAAATGACATTTAAGAAAGCAGAGTCGCCATACTCTAATGGCTCATTCCTGTTATCCTAGCTACTGGAGATCATCTGAGAGCAGAAGGATCAAAGTTTGAGGCCACTCTAGGCAGAAGAGTTCAAAAGAGCTTTCCTTAGAAATAACCAGCAAAGGGCTGCGCAGGTGACTCAGTGGCAGAGTGCTCACCTAGCATGAATGAAGCCCTGGGTTCGATTCCTCAGCACCACATACATAGAAAAAGCCAGAAGTGGTCCTGTGGCTCAGGTGGTAGAGTGCTAGCCTTGAGCAAAGGAAGCTCAGGGACAGCACCCAGACCCTGAGTTCAAGCCCCAGGACTGGCAAAAAAGAAAGAGATAAAGAAAGGAAGAACTAGCAGAAACAGAGCTGAAGGTGTTGTGGCTCAAGTGGTAGACCACCAGCCTAGCAAGGGCAGGAAGGAGAGGAGGCAGGCAGGCAGGCCGGCAGACACACAGACAGATAGACGGACACACACACACACACACACACACACACACACACTCATATTTGCATAAGCACATTAGTGTTAAAAAAATAGTAAGTTCAAAGTCTAGATTGGTCTTAACAAAGACTCGTGAGACCATGCGATATGAATTTGAATAGCAGCCCAAGGCGATGTTATTTAAAGCGTAGAGCTCGTGTTAGCTAGCTCTACAAAAACATGCGTTTCCCTGATGACTGCACAACAGCCTAAACTTTTAATTAACTTTCATTTCATACAGAGTCATCCTAAGGAAATGAATTGCTAATTCTTGTCAGTGTTTTCACATTTTTAAGATTTTAGTCTTCATCATGAGTGTTTGCTACTTTTTAATTGCTCAGTGGCTTTTTGTATCAAATATATGTCCAGGCACCAGTGGCTCACGCCTGTCATCCTAGCTACTCAGGAAGCTGAGATCTGAGGATCGTGGTTCAGAGGCAGCCCTGGCAGGAAAGTCCATGAGACTCTTATCTCCAATTAAAAACCAGAAAACCAGAAGTGGCTGGTTCAAGTGGCTGTGGCTCAAGTGGTAGAGCACTTGCCGTGAGCTGAAGAGCTGAGGGACAGCCCCCAGGCCCAGAGGTAAAGCTCCATGACCAACAATATACATACATATATATATATATATATATATATATATATAGAGAGAGAGAGAGAGAGAGAGAGAGAGAGAGAGAGAGAGAGAGAGAGATGGATGTAAATCTGGCTCATTTGACCATATCTATACATTTGCACTGCATGTGTTTTTTTGGTGTGTATGTGCCAGTGCTGGGACTTGAACTTGGGGCTAGGGTGCTGTCTCTTAGCTTTTTTGCTCACAGCTGGTGCTCTACTTCTTGACTATACCTCCCATTCCAGCTTTTTGATGATTAACTAGAAATAAGAGTCTCACAGACTTTCCTGCCTGGGCTGGCTTTGAGCTAGGATCTTCAGCCCTCAGCCTCCTGCGTAGCTGGGATGTTGGGCGTGAGCCGCCGGTGCCCAGCTTCGCTGGTCCATTTATTTCCTAAGCTTAGGTAACTTCTGTTTGTCCCTGGGCTTTTTCACCCACGCTTTCTCACGTCTGCTCGAGCCACACCTCCCTGTCCAGTGTTGTGGTTTGGTTTGGTTTTGGGGCTGGTCCTGGTGCTGTCTCTGAGCTTCTCAAGGCTAGCGCTCTACCACTGAAGCCACTCTCAGCTTTTTTTCGAGCAGTTTATTAGAGATAAGAGTCTCATGAAGTTTCCTGCCCAGGCTGGCTTCACACCGTGATGCTCAGCTCTCAGCCTCCTGCGTAGCTGGGATGAGGGGCGTGAGCCACCTGTCCCTGGCTTTGAAGAGGTCGGCTTATGCGTGTGACGTGTTTGGCTCCCTGTGACCCCTCTCCTGTTCTCCCCTGTTCCCATCCCAACCGCAGACTCCTCCTTTGTAACGCTACAGCAAGAAACGGGACCCAATAACGTATTGTTTTTATACTTCTCACGTGAGATCTTCGTTCCAGTAAAATCACTTCCTAAGATTCCCTATGGCTCCACCTTCTATAAATAGTAAGAAAAGTGCATCTGCAAAGACAGAACAGAAAAATACCACTGATAGGTAGGTGTGTTTTTTTTCATGCTGATACTGATACCAATGATAATAATGCACACAAACCAGTTCTGGTGGCCCACACCTATAATCCCAGCTGCTCAAAAGGCTAAGATCTGAGGATCTTGGTTCGAAGCCAGGGCAGGCAGAAAAATTCTGTGATACTCTGACTTCCAGCTAATCATCAAAAAACTGGGACTGGGGGGTGGTCAGGTGGTAGAGCACCAGCTGTGAGAACAAACGCTAAGTGACAGCAAAATATCCAGAAGTGGAGGTGTGGCTCACATGGTTAGAGCCCTAGCCTTGGGCAAAAGAAAGCCGAGAACGAGCACTGGGCCCTGAGTTCAAGTCCCAGTGCCAGCGCGCGCACACATACACACACGCACACACACCACTTATTCTCTGGCAGTGTGTTACTGAACAAAAATTAATACACTCACGACTCAGAAAACTCAATGAAGTCAGTAGCTGCCAGACGGCCTTTGTCGGTGTCACAGTGCCCTTTGGAAGGCTGGTTCTAAATTCTCAGGGGAACACCCATCCTTTTGGCTCCCGGCTCCCGTGATGGCTGGCTTACCACCTGCGCCTTCAGTGTAGGACTTGTTTTCTTTGGAGGTTGAGTTTAGGGGCTGGGCCTGGAGCTTCGGGGTGGGGTGTCTAAAGGAGGGGGGGGCCTGTGAGGAGGTTGGAAGGGTGGTCTCTACAAAGGATCCCTGAATAACACCATGATTTCTATTGTTATGTACTTTTTGTTTCCTTCTTTTCTGCTGATATTGGGCTTGAACTCAGGCTCTGAGCCCTGTCCCTTAGCTTTTTTGATGGAAACAATCGTTCAGAGAGTCTTCCCAAAGGGATTTCTTTGTACCTTCCCTGGAGAAAATAATTTGCGTTCTTTTCCTTGGCCTGCACCCAGCCAGGTAGGCTGGCCTGTCCTAACTCATGTACAAAGTTATGATTGCAGTAAATACTGTTTCACAAGGACAGTTTTTAGTTTTTTGAAATAAGCCTGTTAATGCCATTCATCGCGAAACATCATGCCATGATAAGCCTTCAAAAACCAGCTGGCCACTCAGGGCTCACTCCTGTAGTCCTAGCTAGCTACTCGGGAGGCTGGGATAGGAGGATCACCGTTCAAAGCCAGTGAACCACTAAAAAGGGGAAGCTCAGTGCCAGGGCCAGCCTGAAGTAAAATGTCCAAGGGAGAGTACAGGCCCCGAGTTCAGCCACAGTCCTGGCACGCACACTCCTCGGTGCACACACACTAATCCACATTAAGGCTGCATCTCAATTAGATCAGCTTTTACTACAACCCGCAAGCATTAACATTACACCAAGTAATAAAAAAAAGTCCCCCAAACAATGGACAAACAAAATAAATCCTAGATTAGTTAGGGATATGCCCCCCAAAAAACTTGACATTTGTTTAAAATGTATGTGGAGAAGAATGGTGTAAGCTGATGGGGAGAAAGCCAACTGCGTTCACGTTTGTGCACCAAGAAACAAGCCCTTCAGAACTCCCGGCTTGGTCGTAAGGATGTAAAGCTTTCTGCCTGGCAGAAACCGAGATCATCTTTTTTTTTAACCCAGCATTGGGTAAAACAACAGATACAGGAAAGCACGGCTGTTAATGGCATCTCGTGTGTGAGCAGTGACTTCAGCTTAATAAGATTCACAAACCCAGGGAGGAGGGCGCGAGCTCAGCCGGGCAGGACGCGTTCGCTCCCGAGACACCGACAGCCGTCTTTAAACTTAACTGTGTAGCGGGGCCCTGGCTCCCGGCCACCCTCACTACTCCAGAGGGTGAGGTCTGGGGAGAGTCTGTGAGACTCTTCAGTCCACCAGGAAATGGGTGGAAGTGGTGACCTAAACGGTGGAGCACCAGCCCTGGGTGGAGAAGGGACAGTGCCCAGGCCCCGGGTTCAAATAACTAACCCATCAGTAAAAATGGAACCGTGTAACTCGAGAGGCTGGGTGGGTTGGGAAGGAGTGTGGTACTGGTGACGTATCTGTGACTTAACTTCAGCCGGTTTATTGAACTGAACCCAATATCAGACATAAAAACTGAGCCTGGCCTGAGTGGCTAATGCTGTAATCCCCACTTAGGAGGCCAGCCCAGACAGAAAAGCCTGTGAGACTCTTATCTACAATGAGCCAATGAGAAGCCAGAAGTGGCGCCGTGGCTCAGGTGGTAGAGCGCCAGCCTTGAGCTCAGGGGCAGCGCCCAGGCCCTGAGTTCCAGCCCCAGGCCTGCACCACAAAAATAAACAAAATCTCAGGAGGCTGAGATCCGAGGATCACAGTTCAAAGCCATCCCAGGCAGAAAAGTTCCAGCCACTCCTCTCCAGTTAAGCACCAGAAATAGAGCTGTGGCTCAAGCAGTAGAGCGCCAGCCTGAGCCACAAACAAAGCTCAGGAGCAGCGCCCAGGCTGAGTTCAGATCTCAGGACCAAGGGCATGAAAGTCACCTCTGCGTCGCCTTGTGTCTTTCAGCTGACTACAGGTCCGGCCTTCCCCCGCTGGCAGAGCCGGAGACATGACCTGAGCTCCTGATGCCCGCGCCCGGGGCCCCTGGGGATTGTTGCGTGCCATGGAGCTGAAGGTGTGGGTGGACGGAGTCCAGAGGACCGTCTGCGGGGTCACCGAAGCCACCACCTGCCAGGACGTGGTCATAGCCTTAGCACAGGCCATCGGTAGGTCCACGACTCGGTGCCTGCCCTCCCAGTGCAATTTCTAGGGCTTGAACTCAGGGCCTGGGTGCTGAGAGCTCTTTCGATCAAAGGCTGGCGCTCCACCACTTGAACCACAGCGCCACTTCTGGTTTTCTGTAAGTCTCATGGACTTTCCAGCCCAGGCTGGCTTTGAACTGTGATCCTCAGCTCTCAGCCTCTTGAGCAGCTGGGATTATAGGCACGAGCCAGTCTCACAATATTTTTACTTTATTTCTCTCACAAGAAATAATAGTTTGTTGGTTTGTTGGACTGTTTGCGTGCTGATACCCAGGCTTGAACTCAGGGCCTGAGTGGTGTTCCTGGGCTTTTTTTTTGCTCATGGTTGGCTCTCTATCATGAATCCGTATTTCCTCTTTTGTTATTGTGATTTGGGTTTTTTGTTTGCTTGCTTGCTTGCTTGTTTTTTGCCGGTCCTGGGGCTTGAACTCTGATCTTGAGCTCTGTCCCTGAGCTCCTCTTGCTCGAAGCTAGAGCTCTACCACTTGAGCCACAGCGCCATTTCCACTTTGTTCTGTGATTAATTGGAGATAAAGAGTCTCACTTGGACTTTCTTGATCAGACTTCTCTGATCCTTCAAGCTGCGTCCCTCAGATCCCAGCCTCCTGAGCAGCTGGGGTTACAGCCGCTGGGCCCTGCTATAGTATAGGTTCATGAAATTCTCATGGAAGTTTTTATGGCTGCAGGAGCAAAGCATCTGTTAGTATAAAACACGCATGGCTATAGGAAAGTTTATCGTTCATGTATAATATAGTATACATCAGATTATTACAGATAATCAACATAGTTTTTAATATGCCCCAAACATGAGCGCATGCTAGTGTCGAATGCCTAAGAGACTCAGAATCTCTGATTCTGCATAATACTCACTGGGTGCTGTCTCCCATCTATAATCCCAGATACTCAGGAGGCTGAGATCTGAGGGTCACAGTTCAAAGCAGCCTTAGTCTGTGAGACTCTGATCTCAAGTTAACCAACAAAGCAAAGCTAGAAGTGGAGGCATGGCTTGCCTGGAGTGTAAATGGATAATATGTAGGGCTGGGAAGGCGGCTCAGTGGTTGAGCGCTTGCCTTGCATGCATGAAGCCCTGGGTTCGATTCCTCAGCACCACATAAGCAAAAAGAAAAAAGCCAGAAGTGGCGCTATGGCTCAAGTGGTAGAGCGCCAGCCTTGAGCTGAGGGACAGTGCCCAGGCCCAGAGTTCAGGCCCCATGACCGGACCCCCCAAAAAAATGTATATAATAATATGTGTAATATATATAATATGATATATACAGTATAATTACGAGGTTGCGAGATACATTTTCTTTGTAATAATAATAACTAGGATCATTGCCCAGTGCCAGAGGCGCACCTCTATAAATCCTAGCCACTCAGAAGGCTGAGCTCTGAGGAACTGAGGTTTGAAGCCAGCCTGAGCACACAAGTCCACGAGACTCCCTATCTCCAGTTAACCAGCAAAAAACTAGAAATGGAGGCTTGGTTCATGGGGTAGAGTACCAGCTTTGAGCAGAAAACAGCCAGCCCACTGCACAAAGCCTTGAGTTCAAGTCCCAATACCGGCACAGAAACAATAAAAAGAGGGATTGGATGGAGTAGTGGCTCAGTTGGTAGAGTACCAGCCAATGGTTCAAAGTATCAGGTACTGAGTTCCAATCACAATCTTGGAACTAAAATAGATAGATGGATGCATGCATAGATAGATGACAGATAGATAGATAGATAGATAGATAGATAGATAGATAGTGGATAGGTGGATGGACGGGCAGACACACAACCTACAATTATCAAATGATACTTTGCCTTGGCTTAGTTCCTGCAAGTCCCATTTTGACAGTGTCATGTTTTTCTCAATCTAGGTCGAACTGGAAGATACACCCTCATAGAAAAATGGAGAGATACTGAAAGGCATCTTGCACCTCATGAAAACCCGATCATTTCTTTGAATAAATGGGGGCAGTATGCGAGCGACGTGCAGCTCATTCTGCGAAGAACGGGGCCGTCGCTCAGTGAGCGCCCCACTTCTGACAGCGTGGCCCGAATTCCAGAAAGAACTTTGTACAGGCAGAGTCTGCCCCCCTTAGCCAAACTGAGGCCCCCGGGAGACAAGGCGATCAAGAGGAGAGAGCCCAAGAGGAAATCTTTGACTTTCACCGGAGGGGCCAAAGGCTTAATGGACATCTTTGGGAAAGGGAAAGAAACTGAATTCAAACAAAAGGTGTTAAATAGTTGCAGAGCGACTGCCGATGAGCTGAAGAAGCTGATCCGCCTGCAGACGGAGCAACTCCAGTCCATCGAGAAGCAGCTGGAATCGAATGAACTCGAGATCCGATTTTGGGAACAAAAGTATCACTCAAACTTGGAAGAAGAGATCATCCGCCTGGAGCAAAAGATCAAACGGAACGCCGTGGAAATCGAGGAGGAAGAGTTTTGGGAAAATGAATTGCAGATTGAGCAAGAAAATGAAAAGCAGCTGAAAGATCAGCTTCAGGAAATAAGGCAGAAGATCACGGACTGCGAGAGCAAACTGAAAGACTATGTGGCCCAAATCCAGTCGATAGAAAACGGTCTTGAAGCGGAGAAACTGCAGCAGGAAGTTCAGAAGGCCCAAGTCAACGAAGAGGAGGTTAAAGGAAAGATCGGCAAGGTCCGGGGGGAGATTGACCTGCAGGGCCAGCAGAGCCAGCGGCTGGAGAACGGGATCAAGGCTGTGGAGCGGTCTCTGGGGCAAGTCACCAAGCGACTGCAGGTACCCACGGAGAGCGTCAGGACTGGGGCGCAGGCCTGCCGGCTCAGCTGCCCAGGCGGCCGAGGTGGGAGGGTGGTCCTGCGCAGCCAGCCTGCTCAGGAAAGTCCTTGGAACTCTCCGGTGAACCCGCAAAAAGCCAGTAGCGGAGTTGTGGCTCCAGTGGGGAGAGCCTGAGGCCCTGAGTTCGAGTCTTGGGACAGGCACACAGTTGTGTTTTCATTCTCAAAATGTCCTTCCCCGACCATTGCTTTGTTTTCAGGGCTTTCTGTCTAGGGAAAGAGTTAGCAGTGGGGCTGACGTCCTGGAATTCTGTGACCAGGCTTACCTGAGAAGAGCAGGAGAAAGGCTGACACACCTAGGCCTGGCTGGGCGATTCCTGCTCGGCAGGCTTTAGGTCTGGGCCTGGCTGGGCGATTCCTGCTCGGCAGGCGTTAGGTCTGGGCCTGGCTGGGCGATTCCTGCTCGGCAGGCCTTAGGTCTGGGCCTGGCTGGGCCATTCCTGCTCCGCAGGCCTTAGGTCTGGGCCTGGCTGGGCGATTCCTGCTCGGCAGGCCTTAGGTCTGGGCCTGGCTGGGCGATTCCTGCTCTGCAGGCCTTAGGTCTGGGCCTGGCTGGGCGATTCCTGCTCGGCAGGCCTTAGGTCTGGGCCTGGCTGGGCGATTCCTGCTCGGCAGGCCTTAGGTCTGGGCCTGGCTGGGCGATTCCTGCTCGGCAGGCCTTAGGTCTGGGCCTGGCTGGGCCATTCCTGCTCCGCAGGCCTTAGGTCTGGGCCTGGCTGGGCGATTCCTGCTCGGCAGGCGTTAGGTCTGGGCCTGGCTGGGCGATTCCTGCTCGGCAGGCCTTAGGTCTGGGCCTGGCTGGGCGATTCCTGCTCAGCAGGCCTTAGGTCTGGGCCTGGCTGGGCGATTCCTGCTCTGCAGGCCTTAGGTCTGGGCCTGGCACAGGCTGGCAGTGTGGGTCGCGGGTCTCTTCCCCTTCTCAAGGCAAAGATCCAAAGCCAGGCTCAGCACCAGGAGCCTGCTCACCAGGGAGGGCTGGCCTGGCCATTGCTCTGCTGTGGCCGGCCCAGCTCCAGCCAGAGATTTAGTCCCTTCCTCCTCTCCACAGTACCTCTCCTCCTCCTCTCCAGTCCTCCTCCTCCTCCTCCTCTCCACAGTCTCCCTCCCCCTCCTCTCCACAGTCCCCCTCCTCCTCCTCCTCTCCACAGTGCCCCTCTTCTTCCTCCTCCTCCTCTCCACAGTCCTCCTCCTCCTCCTCCTCTCCACAGTCCCCCTCCTCCTCCTCTCCACAGTCCCCCTCCTCCTCCTCCTCTCCACAGTCCCCCTCCCCCTCCTCCACAGTGCCCCTCCTCCTCCTCCTCTCCACAGTCCCCCTCCTCCTCCTCTCCACAGTCCTCCTCCTCCTCCTCTCCACAGTCCTCCTCCTCCTCCTCTCCACAGTCCTCCTCCTCCTCCTCTCCAGTCCTCCTCCTCCTCCTCTCCACAGTCCTCCTCCTCCTCCTCTCCAGTCCTCCTCCTCCTCCTCTCCACAGTCCCCCTCCTCCTCCTCCTCTCCAGTCCTCCTCCTCCTCCTCCTCTCCACAGTCCTCCTCCTCTCCAGTCCTCCTCCTCCTCCTCCTCTCCACAGTCCTCCTCCTCCTCCTCTCCAGTCCTCCTCCTCCTCCTCCTCTCCAAGTCCCCCTCCCCCTCCTCCTCCTCCTCTCCACAGTCCCCCTCCTCCTTCTCTCCACAGTCCCCCTCCTCCTCCTCTCCACAGTCCTCCTCCTCCTTCTCTCCACAGTCCCCCTCCTCCTCCTCTCCACAGTCCCCCTCCTCCTCCTCTCCACAGTCCTCCTCCTCTTCCTCCTCCTCCTCCTCTCCACAGTCCTCCTCCTCCTCCTCCTCTCCACAGTCCCCCTCCTCTTCACAGTCCTCCTCCCCCCTCCTCCTCTCCACAGTCCTCCTCCTCCTCCTCTCCACAGTCCCCCTCCTCCTCCTCCTCTCCACAGTCCCCCTCCTCCTCCTCTCCCGAGTACCCCCACCCTGTGCTTTGTCTGGAAGAGGGGTACAAAAATTAACTCTCTAGCTGGACACCGGTGGCTCACGCCTGTCATCCCAGCTACTCAGGAGGCTGAGATCTGAGGATCATGGTTCAGTGCCATACCAGGCACAAAGTCCGTGAGACACTGATCTCCTAAACCACTAGAAAACCAGAAGTGGAGCTGTGGCTCAAGTGGTAGAGTGCTTGCCTTGAGCTGAAGAGTGTAGGGACAGCACCCAGGCCCTGAGTTCAAGCCCCATGACTGACCAAAAGAAAAAGAAAAAGCAATTAACTCTCTGGGTGTCTCCCCTGGTATGTGTTCATTCATCATGGATCACTCCATTTAGAATTCCTAGATGTTTATTTTTTGCATGGCTGTGTGCATGTGTGCTGGTCCTAGGGCTTGAACTCAGGGCCTGGGTGCTGTTGTGAGCTCTTTTGCTCAAGGCTGGTGCTCTACCACTTGAGCCACAGCCCCACTTCCAGTTTCCTGGTGCTTTGAGATAAGAATCTCACAGCCCTCCCAGCCAGGGCTGGTTTTGAACCTTAATCCTCAGATTTCAGCCTCCTGAGTAGCCAGGCATGAGCCACTGGTGCCCAACTTTAATATCCAGTCTTGAAGGCTGTGTGGTTAAGATAGGAATCTTACGAAGTTGTATCAAACAGTCTCTCTGAGATGTTAGTCAAGAAACTCAATTATAAGCAGCTATTTTAAATTTAAATTCTTTAAAACAAGCCAGGTGTCGGTGGCTCATTCCTGTAATCTCAGCTGCTCAGGAGCTCAGGCCTGGGCAGGAAGGTTCATAAGACTCTCCTCCAGATAACTATCAAAAGGCCAGAAGTGGAAGTGTGGCCACAGTGCCAGCCTTGTGGGGCAAAGCTAAGCAACAGCACTCAAGGCCTGAGTTCCAGCTTAGTATTGTTACTGGAAGAAAGAAAGAAAGACGAAGAGATAAATGTATTCTAACAGTAAGACCTGTGTGTGTGTGCGTGCATGCGTGCGTGTGAGCACGTGTGTGTGCGTGTGAGCACGCGTGCCTGGACGCTGCCCCTGAGCTTTCTCACTCATAGCTGGTGCTCTACCACTTGAACCACACCTCCACTTACAGATTTTTCCTGGTTCGTTGGAGATACGAGTCTCATGGACTTTTGGCTGGTGAACCATGATCCTCAGATCAGCCTCCTGGGTAGTTAGGGTGACAGGCGTGAGCCACAGGCACCAGGCACCCAGTGTTTTGTTTGTTTGTTTATCTTACTGAAGGCTGCAGACTTGAATGTGTATGAATGTGCAGGGTGAGTTAGAGCTGACTGGGTTCGAGTTTGCCTGAAAAGCTTTGTGGTAAACGGGGCAGAGCGAAGTTACTGCCGAGCCTTCCCTGGCTCGTGGCCCTCACCGCAGTGCGATGGAGACATCCCGGAGCTTACTGAATCCGTTCAGCCAGTTAACTGAGTAAATCCTCACATTAAAAACACAAGTAAACAAACAGACAACCACGAGGCCAGGCGCAGTGGCTCATGCCTGTAATCCTAGCCATTCAGGAAGCTGATATCTGAGGATTATAGTTCCAAGCCAATTGGAAAGGCAAGTCTAAAGGACTCTTCTCTCCAGTTAACCAACCAAAAGCCAGTCAGGGAGGTGTGGCTCAAATGGTAGAGCACCAGAGAAGCCAAGCAAGAGTGCAAGGCTCTGTACTGGTGTGTACGTGTGTGTGTGCACGCGTATACACACACACTGACAATGGCATTCGCATCTAGGACAAAGAACAAGAATTAGAGCAGCTGACCAAAGAGTTGCGGCAGGTGAACCTCCAGCAATTCATCCAGCAGACGGGCACCAAAGTCACCGTGCTCCCGGCCGAGCCCACCGAGGTTGAGGCCCCCCAGGACGTCGAGAGGGGTAAGGCCTTTGCAGATAGATAAACCGAGCGGAACTCTCAACAGAGGGAACATTATTTCACCATCCAGAGTGGACGTCCTCTTTGGTCCCAGTCCTGGGGCTTGAACTCACAGCCTACATTCTATCCCTGAGCTTTGCTGCTCCAGGCTGGTGTTCTACCACTTGAGCCGCAACCCCACTTGCACCTTTTGGCTGGTTAGAGATAAAGAGTCCCATGGACTTTCCTGACTCAGCTGGCTCTGAACCGTGATCCTCAAATCGTAGCCACGTGAGCAGCCGGGATTACCGGCACCCAGCTGAAATGCATCTTTTTGATAATGCCATGGACTGATCCTGTATTACCAAAGCCGGCTTGTCCACTATTGGGTGTTCCCTCGCAGCAGCAGATGCAGCTCCCGCCCCCAAGGCCCCCAGGAGGGAGTCAGAGGCCCCGAGGCCGGAGCTAAACCGTGTGGTTCTTTTGCTAAGATTCTTCCATGTGAGCAGGGGCACCAGTAATTGTCTTTCTTTCCTATTTAGAGACACCGTTTCAGGCCGGGTCCCTGAAGCGACCCAGTTCATCTCGACAGCTCCCTGGCAATCTCCGCATTCTGCAGAGCCCTCTCTCTTCGGGCTTTAACCCTGAAGGCATCTATGTATAACAGCAGGGGTAGAGAACGAGCCAATAAAGGTGCCCAGGACTGAGAACTTCCTCCTTTTTCATTCGTACAACGACCATCCAGGGGATTGCGTTTGCTGACCTGCCGCCCGCCCACCCTGTCTTTATTTCTCTCCTCAACTGCATTTCGCGTGGAGCCATACTCTGTGCACTGATGTTCAAAAACAAAGAAAGTATTTCCTCCAATCAACAGTATTGACATTTTTGTCCAGCAGCTGTAATGTAAAGCTTTTTATTATCATTTATTTTATATTATTATTATTTGTAGCATTTTTAAGAGCATTAGTGAAGTCTACTACATGTATACATAAATTGTGAGTTAAGAAGTAAAAGAGAAATACATGAGCGATGTAAGTTTAATTTATTCCATAGAACCGATCAGTGTGTGAATGTTTCTGTTTTAATACTCATTACTGGTCCCGTGACTTCATTATGTTAAATACTGTATGATTTATGCAAGATTCCGTCCGGTGTGGTTATCTTACAGATGCTGCGTGCTCAGCATCCAGACTGAACGCCATAGAACCTTTGCTTGTGTTTTATGAATCTCTGAATCTGCAGTCACTGCCTCATTTGCTGACGTCATTCACATGTTTTAGTTTGTGTGTGTGTGTGTGTGTACTAAGTCTTGAACCCAGCGCCTCCTGCTCTCCCTTGGCTTTGTTTGCTCAAGACTAGCACTACCACTTGAGCCATACCTCCAGCTTTTTTTCCCAGTGAAATTCATTGGAGAGAAGAGTCTGGCTCACAGATGTTCCTTCCCAGGCTGGCTTTGAACTGGGATCCTCGACAGGCGTGAGCCACCGGCACCAACTGCAGATTCCTTTTCCATCGGGGATGTAAGTTTTCCTTTTCTGTAGCTCCCAATGTAGAAATCACCACACAACATTTTAAATATGTTTCTCATGAGTAAATTTGTATATGAAAAAGGGTTTTCAAGTCTTTCCTATGCTGTTGAACAAAAATGTAAAATGTTGACTATCTCTCCAGAAAAGCATGGAGTTTTTCTAATACTTTTGTGGTTTGTTTCAGCCCTGTTTTTACCTTTTCTTTCACTGATCCTCAGAATTAACATAAAATGTGAGTTGCATATCGCTGAGGAACAGATTAGCATACTTTAGGAATAGTGCTTCAAATGATGTATTTTAAAACAATTTACTTATATTTGGGTGTTTGTTTTTTGGTATAGACACCCCAAGTAAGTAATGGCTTGCAAATAATTTATATTACCAACAAGTGTGTTTTCTCTGGTCAGTGAGACAAAGGGGAGATTAGATTTAGATACTCTCTTTTTGATAGAAGTCAAGAGTATGTTTTTAAGTTGACTTTTATAAAAGACAGTGATCGCTACTTATACATATATCATTTTATTTATAAAACCAAAAATGATGACTTAGGTAACATTCACAAATAACATTTAGACACCTTTTGCCAGATAGCTCTCAGCCATTGCTCCATCCCTCTGATCAGATTTGGTACTGATAATTAAGATATGTATCTAAAATGTTCAAGTTCTGAAGAAAATTCACGTTTTCTATTAATTACATGCCATGAAATAAATGTAGATCTATAGAGTAATGCCCTGGCAACTATAAAGAGAGAAATATCTTATGCATGGAAGGCAGCTATGGGCATTTGAACATATTTGACTTTGTTTTGGCTTCATTGAATGCTGGGTATGTATGCTGCTTAATTTAGATTTCCTATGAAAAATTGTTAAGAATGGCTAGGGAATATATAGAGAAGCTTCTAGAAAATGGAAAGTCATACCTTGTGGCCTTTTTCTCATCCAGATAGTGGTCTGAAAATACAATCCTTTTGAGGTTCTAGAGTTACTGATTTGGCCGTTGAGCTGCTTTGCAAAGAACTGAGAGATTAATAATTTTTACATAAATAACTATTGCCTGTAACCACCTGCTCTTGATTTGTAGTAGTTATTTCATATCTATATATATGTAAAAAAAGGAGCTAATTCAAACTCAGAGTACTTTATAGCTTTTGTGATGAGCGACGTATACCCACGATATGCCTTATTTTTAGGGTCCCATGCATCCTATATAACTCATTTTATGGCTTTTCAGAGAATTTGAGACCTTATTCACAAAGAAAAAACACCAAAACGCTTTATAAAAGTCAATGGCATTCCCTTGACATCCAGATGTTAAATCAGAGGTATGTCAAACTTCACAGTTAGAAATTGCCAAGAAATCTTGGAGTGCCGTATGTCCGTCAGTTACCGTGAGTTAGATGGACTCAAGTAGAGGAATCATGCTAAGGAAAACCACACGCATCCTCCTATCACGAATCCTGAGTTTCCCGTCACAGTTCTCTTTTCTTTTTTCCTGTGCCAGTGCTGGGACTTGAAGTCAGAGCTGGGCGCGCTGTCCCTTACCATTTTTCACTCAAGGCTGGGTTCAGCCAGTTGAGCCACAGCTCCACTTCCAGCTTTTTGCTGGTTCACTGGAGATGAGAGTCTCGCAGACTTTCCCGCTGAGTCTTGACTTTGAACTGCAGTCCTCAGATCTCAGCCGTCTGTGTAGCTGGGCTTCCAGGAGTAAGCCACTTGCCTGGCTCGTCATCAGAATTTATAAGCTGCCAAAATCATCTCTGTGGACCTAAATAACAGAAATGGGACTCTGTGGGTGCGAGGCTGTGTAGAGGTGAACTGATGAGCTCATCGAGAAGCTGTACTTTTTAACCAGTTCTTACCTAAGTAAGGGATATTTTCTAAATCCTTTTTTTTAATCAAAAAAGTAACTTCTGTAGGGACAACTTCAAAGCATTTTAGTCTGGGATCCTTTTTACCTGTTGGGAATACTAATGAATTAATTTGTCACCTACGGGCAGCACCGCAGCAGGTGATGGCACACAGAACTATAAGAAATCATTTTTTTCTGTGTGCCGGGACTAGAGCTTGAACTCTCACTTGGCTTTTGGCCTCAAGACTGGCATTCTACCATTTGAGCCACAGCTCCACTTTTGGCTTTTTGGTGGTTCATTGGAGATGATAAGAATCTCACGGACTTTCCTGTCCAGGCTGGCTTTGAATCATGATCCTCAGATCTCAGCCTCCTGAGTAGCTACAGTTGCCTGGCTTCAAAGATGCCATTTTTAGGTCTAAGGGAATATTCAGGTTCTAAATAATAAATTAGATTGCAAATTTTTGTAGGAATTTTTTTTACTTTACACTGCAGGTTGTTTTACAGGTTTTCTACAACTATTATATTTAAAAATAGTTCTTCCTCGCCAAGGAATAATTTAAATATTGGTCCTTTTTTTCCCTTGAGTATCCTCTTCCTCTGCGAATGATATGTGGCAGATTACCTCAGTTTTTCATTTTTTTTGTGAGATATTTTGGATAGTCAGCATTTTTTTTGTCTTGATGGACAGGACATTTTTCTTTGTATGTGAAATATTAGTGTTAATATACCTTGCTCTAAATTGCCAACATCCATGAGAAAAATTGTCAATTCTTGTACTTACAAACCAGAGCTAAAACAAGACTGTGTGTGTGTGTGTATATATATATATATATATATATATATATATATAAATAAATCACAGTAAAAATAATGAAATTTACATTATGAAGCGTGAAGCATAGCAACGGTAAACAAATGAGCACTTGTCTCGAGTCAGATGAAAAGATATTCCTGTGTCCAAATAGCTTTCTTTGTGAATAAAATGGTCTTTAGAGAATAGAATTCTTTCTTTTCAATGCCACTTCTGTGAATGAATGAATGAATGAATGAATACCTTTCCAAGAAAGAACCACAATGGAAATAATATGGAAAAGGCAAATGCTTACGTCTCCAGCCTGCCAAGGGTGTGGACAAATGAACCAGTGAAGTACAGATTGTACATTGCCTTAATTTATGTGTCAGTAATGAATGACATTGTGTATGTTCCCGCTTCTGCCTAAAATTGTTATCAGTCTCCATTATACTAAAGTGTAGCTCATAGTACTTTTATATGATGTCAGGGTTTTGTTGTTTTTGTTTAAGTTGCATGTATAGACTGTTTGCCACATTATTTTTTTTTTAATTTGCAAGCTGTGTCAGAAGTCATATGTACCTGTGGCCGTTGTTAATGCTTTCCAGTCCCCAAAAAGCTTTTGATGCCAGGATTTAGAATGCATGGAAGCAGCAAGGATCTCTTCTTTCCAATGCATTTTTTATATTTTTAGAAGCCAAATAAATGCAGATATTTAGTATACTAATTGTATTAAACCAGCAGAATTATTTAAGGCAATAAAGTATAGACATATTGGGGGGAGGGGAAAGAGGAAAAAAAAATATATCTATATCTATATAGGTTTACAGGTAGACATAAGAGCCCTAAATCATTTCTCCTTTCTTTCTTGGTTGACCTTACAAAGATTTGAGCTGCAACAAGCTTTTAGCAGCAGATTACCATGGTTCATTTAGTGTAGACCAGAAATACGCTTTTAGTACACCTTGCGTTCGTAATAAACCTATTTCTGTAATACGTACCATATGGAATTATTTCTTTCTGACTTTCCATTTCAAAATGTCTATTTTCTGATTATTTTACGAGCTGTACAGCAGAAGATCGGTATTTGCCCAAATAATAAATTTTCGGGATCTACTTGTTGGGTGTGGTGTGCTTTTCTGCCCTGGAGACCACGTCAGAGAACAGGTCTACCTATCAATGACGCAGATTTACGTTTTGCTAATTACTTGTAACTCATACAGGGAAGATTCACTGTTAGCACCTGAAGAATTATCCAGTGCTCAGGAAGACGATGCTTAAGGAACTGGTAGTTTCCACAAATCCTCCTTTTCTCTTTCTCTACTCTCAGGGAAAACCTTCCCTAGTTTTTCAAAAATCCAGTCAAAATACTGATCTTTGAAATGTTTTAAAGTAGCCAAGCACTGGTGGCTCACGTCTGAAATCCTGGCTACTCAGGAGGCTGAGAACCGAGGATCATGGTTTGAAGCCAGCCCCAGCAGGAAAGCCCATGAGACTTACCGCCAGTAAACCACCAGAAAACCAGAAATGGAGCTCAAGTGGTAGAGCACCAGCCTTGAGTGAAAGAGCTCAGAGACAGCGCCCAGGCCCTGAGTTCAAAGTCCCACCCTTGACAAAACAAATCCCAGAAGAAAAATGTAGAGTTTAACTAATATTTGATTAAAATGAGGTGGTTTCTGTTGGGGGGGGGGGCGGGGGGCAGAGCTTAGAAATACCCCAGAGGTAACTGGAAAGTCCCGTTCAGCTCCACAGGCATGGACCAGATTCACGTGTGCTGATTGCTGGACACGCAGAAATGGCCAGAAACCCAAATAGCGGATCCCAGGGCCAGGCAGGTAGCTCACCTCTGTAATCCCTGTTTATCAGAAGTCTGAGGTCTGCGGTTCACTGGGGCTGTTGGACAGCTTTGACGGGCCCAGCCCTGAACGTACACATCTTACGTCGTAGAATATGCTGAGGAGAAAAGAAATAGATCTAAGAAGGAACCGGGAAGTGTGAGTGCTGGGGGAGGTGTTGGCATTTTATATATTGGCTGGAGAGGGCCTCGTAAGGGACTAGTGAGGTCTGACAGGGCCCTGCCCAGGAGGAGGGGAGGTGCTCCCAGAGCCCACTGGCCCAGAGCCTCGGGAGTCAGGCTTCTGATGCTAGGCAACATCCTCAGGATGCTTAAGCCAGAAACCCCTCTAACTCAGCACTTTGCTCAGACCTCAGAGCACTCCGGAGGGAGCTGTGTCAAACTTAATAAACTCACGCCTGGAATCCCAGCTACCCAGGAGGCTGAGATCCGAGGATCAGGGCTGGATGCTAGCTTGGGCAGGAAAGTTCACGAGACTTCAATCACCAGTATACACACACACACACACACACACACATGCTTATAGAAGTCTCCCCTCAGCCCTACTCAACAATAACCAGTACACACACACACACACACACACACACACACACACACACACTAGCTTATAGAAGTCTCCCCTCAGCCCTACTCTAACAATAACCAAGTCAGTGAGTCAGCCAATGGACCCAAATTTCTGCTGACAGACACATGGGTGAGTGCCACAATTATTTTATGGTAAATTCTTGTTGCTTTTTTGTCATTGTAAAGGTGGTGTGCAGAGGTGACAGTTACGTAAGTCAGGTAGAGTCCATTTCTTCTTGGACAATGTCCCCCTTCCCCGGCGCTCTCCCATCCCCACCCACACGCTGTAGAGCTCATGTTCCACATCGTGTCCAGTGAGGACCACAGCCACATTGGTCCAACCATTTGTCCTCCATTTCTGTCTCCCTCACCCTCCCAAAGACAGACCAAAACAAAAACAAAAACAGCAACGAAGAAAAAAAAACACCTCGTTCCCATTTCCGGGAGTTGATTTCAATAACTACTGTCTTATATGGTCAAAGGCACACAGACATCTGGGCTTTGGCTCTCTCCGGTGAGTTCCCTCCTCTGGCCTCACTGTGTGTAATGTCTAGACCCTACATTTCCTCATGTATCTCCTGTCTAGGCACGCATGTTCAGGCATGCTGGAACATTATTCAGCTCTAAGATGGGAGGCTGTGGGGCAATCTCTTACGCTAGGAAATGGTTAGAGTACCTTTTACGTCAGCAGAGTCATCTGCCCTCGCTGGGGTGGGTCATAGCCAGTCAGCGGGAGGCCATCAGCAAGCATCTGGATGTGAGCTTCTCCGGCCTGCGGGCTGCCAGCTAGAGCCTCACCTCCTCCTCGGTGAAGCTTTCTGCCCCAGGTGCTCAGCCACCCCGGCCTCCACCTGTCGAAAGCATGGCTATAGCAAGATTCATTCACTGTGAAGGGGAGAGACACCAGAACCTGTTGCCTGAGAAAAATCCAGATTGAAAAGTTGGGATTGCTGATCAGGCGCCAGGGCTCACGCCTGTCATCCCAGCAACTCGGGAGGCTGAGATCTGAGGATGGAGGTCTGCGGCCAGCCCAGGCAGGAGAGCCTGGGGAAACTTATCTGCAATCAGGCACCCAAAAGCCGGAAGCAGAGCTGTGGTTCCGGTGGTAAAGTGTCAGCCTGTGCAGGAAAGGTTAAAGGAAAGTGAGGGGCCCTGAGTTCAAGCCCCAGTCCTGACAGAAACAAAAAGGAAGCAAGGAAGCCTGCGGGTGAGCAGTCGCTTGGGGGGGAGAGTGGTAGCACTGGGGAGGCGTCCACGTGTGGAGGCTTGAGGACGACATAAAAGCTTAGGAGTCCCACTGCACCTTGTGGAGAAAACAAACAGAACGAGACACGGAGGAGCGAAAAGACTGACGGAGGAAGAATGAATGAAAAAAAGGGATAGGCGAACAGAGGACCAGATGAGAAGAGGACCATGAGTGAAGAGATGGATGAAAAGTGGAGGAATGAAAAGACGGGATGAATGAAAAGATGAAGGGGTGAAGAGAGGGATGGATGAAAAATCAATGAAAAGACAATGACTCGATGCATCCACAAATGAACAGATGAAAAGCAATGAACGTATACAAGTAGTGAATGAATATATGGATGAAAAATGGAGGAATGAAAAGACGGACAGATAAAAAGATGAGCACAGGAGTGACAAGATGGATGGATGGACGGGTGATGGATGAACAAAAAGATGGACGAAATCCCCTCCTGCACATGAGAAGATGGTCTTTACCCAGTCAGGTCCCTGACAAGCAACTCAACAGCCCCGGGACCACGGCTTAGAGGCAGAGCGCAGGCGTGCACACGCCCGTCTGATTCTCAGACCTGGAGCCGGGGCTCCAGGGGAAGAGCACTAGCCTCGGGCAAAAGCAGCTCAGAGAGGAGGGAGGGGGAGGAAGAGGAGGGAGGGAAGGGGAAGGAGGAAGGGAGGGTAGGAAGAAAGAAAGGAAGGGAAGAGGAGCGGGAAGACGGAAGGAAGGGAGGGGGAAAAGAAAGAAAGGAAGAAAAAAGAAAGGGAGAGAGTGGAGGGAGGGAGGAATGGAGGAGGGAGGGAGGAGGGAGGAAGGAAGGGAAGAAGGGAGGAAGTAAAAGAAGGAAAGCAGCGGGGGGCGCCAGTGGCTCCCGCCTGTCATCCCAGCTGCGCAGGAGGCTGAGATCTGAGGATCGTGGTTCAAAGCCAGCCTGGGCAGGAAAGTCTGTGAGACTCTGATCTCCAATAAACCAGCCGAAAACCAGAAGTGGGGCTGTGGCTCAAGCGGTGGAGTGCCAGCCTTGAGCTGAAGAGCTGAGGGATGGCGCCCAGGCCCAGAGTTCAAGCCCCACGACCGACAAAAAGAAGGGGGGAGGGAGAAAGAAAGGAAGAAAAGGAAGAGAAGGGAATGAGGGTGAGAAGAAAGGAAGGAGAGGAAGACACCCGAAGAGCCGCCCGCCGCGGTGGACGCGTCCTGCTGTGCGGACCAGGGCGTCTTCACCAGTGTGGGGTGGGCACCAGCCGGACGGGCCCGGGGTGGCCGGGGGGGGGGGGCACCAGCCGGACGGGCCCGGGGTGGCCAGGGGTCGGGGCACCAGCTGGACGGGCCCGGGGTGACCGGGGGGGGGCACCAGCTGGACGGGCCCGGGGTGGCCAGGGGTCGGGGCACCAGCTGGACGGGCCCGGGGTGGCCAGGGGGTGGACGCCAGCTGGACGGGCCCGGGGTGGCCAGGGGTCGGGGCACCAGCCGGACGGGCCCGGGGTGGCCAGGGGGTGGATGCCAGCTGGACAGGCCCAGGGTGGCCAGGGGTCAGGGCGGGTCCCCTCCTGGCCCTTGAGTGACAACAGCACAACGCACACACACGCGTGCGCACACATACACATGTGCATACACGCATGCACACACACGCACAGGAGGCCAAGTGCTCATCTGGAAAGAGTCATGTAATCTCCACGTTATCCGTGCCACTCACAGACGCCTTGCTCACAACGTCTGCAGTGAGGTGCGGCTGTCCACCAGAGGGCAGCCGGCACCAAGCCAGGGCCAGGGGCCAGGCGGGGGGGGGGGGGGGGGGGGAGGGAGGGAGGATGGGGGGGAGGGGGGGGAGGGAGGGAGGACAGGGGGAGGGGGGAGGGAGGGTGAGGGAGGGAGGATGGGGGGAGGGAGGGTGAGGGAGGGAGGGGGAGGGAGGGAGGGAGGATGGGGGGAGGGAGGGTGAGGGAGGGAGGGAGGGAGGACGGGGGAGGGGGGAGGGAGGGAGGACAGGGGGAGGGGGGAGGGAGGACGGGGGGGGGAGGGGGGAGGGAGGAAGCTGGACAGGGGCTCAGTGGTAGAGCTCTTGCCTAGCATGCATGAAGCCCTGGGTTCGATTCCTCAGCACCACTTGAACAAAAGAAGGTAACCTTGAGCAAAAGAAGCTCAGGGACAGCGCCCAGGCCCTGAGTTCAAGCCCCAGGACCAGAAAAAGAAAAGGAAAAAAAGAGAAGGAATGAAGGAAAGAAGAACTAGAGTGCATATATTTTATTAGCTTACACATGTTAAAATTTTGTGTTGTAAGTTGAGCATTCTTGTATGACATGGACAGACATATAAAACTGGCTAAGGTACATTTTAATTACCTAGTTATCACGTTCATGAACATGACCAAGCACCTACTAGGCATGAGGTGTTTTGTTACACAGTAAACAAACGGTATCTAAATAGTCTCAGAAAGCAACTGGTGCTGGGCTCATGCCTGTCATCCTAGCTACTCAGGAGGCTGAGCTCTGAGAATCACAGTTCAAAGCCAGGAAGATCTGTGAGACTCTTATCTCCTAATTAACAAGGATAAAAAGCAAAGTAGAGGTGTGGCTCAAGTGGTTGAGCACCTTGAGCAAAGAAAAGCCAAGAGAAAGCAAGAAGCCCTGAGTTCAGGTCCTAGTAATGCACACACACAGAAAGAGAGAGATGGAGACTGAGGAAATGGCTTAAGAAAGAGAGAGAGAACGTGTGCGCCAGGAGCTGGTGGCTCATGCCTGTAATCCCAGCTACTCAAGAGACAGATCTGAGGATTGTGATTCAAAGCCAGCCCAAGCAGAAAGCTCCCGAGACTCCAATTAATAACCAAAACAATCTGGAAATGGAGCTGTGGCTCAAGTGGTATAGCACTAGCTTTAAGCAAAGGAAGCTCAGGAACAGGACTCTGGCCTGAGTTCAAGCTATATGACCAGAGAAGCGGGGGGGGGGGGGGGGGGGGTTGTGTAGCTTTGCACATTGTGGTTTGTGTCTGAGCAGCAGGTTGAAGCTCCTGAAGAAATTCTGAATAATCTCATTAGCAAAGCCACTTACGTTCCCTGCTAGCAGCCGCTCACCCAAAAAAGCACGCGGTGCAACCTGCTGGGCCAGGAGCTGAGCCGTGGCAGAGGTTGCTCCCCTTCTCTGTGGGGCACAGAAGTGGGGTCTTCGTCTTTTACCGAGAGCCAGGCTCACAGGATGTGACCTACCAAAGCAGGCCGCTGTGCCCCAGACCGCCCCACCTGCAGGCCTTCCTTCCTCCTAGCCAGCCCGAAGTGCCCCCCGTCCCTGAGCTCGTGCAGAATGACTTGCAAAGACACAAACGCTTTGCTCTCTATCACCGAACCCTCCTACTTCCTCCCCACAGAAGATTCTATTCTCATAGCTCAGTACAGTGGCTCATGCCTGGAATCCCAGCTAGTTGGGAGGCTGAAGTCTGAGGAACCAGGTTCAAAGCCAGTCCTGGGCAGACAAATGGGTGAGATGCTTGTGTCCAGTGAGCCGACAAAAGGCCCACAGCAGAGCTGTGGCTGAAGTGGTAGAACCAGCTTTGAAGGGGTAAAAGCTAAGCAGAGAGTTGGAGCCTTAGTAGGACACTAAATAAGCAATTCAGTAAATAAATAGATAAGTCAACACACAGATAAGTAAGTGCTATCCTCACTAACGTCAGAGGGCCTGGGGCGGCTGAGTGTCTCAGAAGCAGGGCGGTGTGTGAGGGAACTGCTGGGCTGGCCTGACCACCTGTGGTCTCAGCTCAGTACACCAGCAGGAGAGAACTTGCTAGATTCTTCCACCACTCAGAGACCCCAGATGCCAGGCCCAGAAGAGAATCTCCCGGGACAGGCTACTGCACAAGGATTTTACATTTCCCCTTACGAGACTAGGATGTTGGGGACTTGATTTTTTTTCCCCATTTATAAAATGTGATAAAAACCAACCCTGATGTGTGAATGGAAAGCCCTTTGGATAACACTGACAAATAATTTCTAAGTGTTGTTTATAAAATTAACAGAAGTGGGCTGGGAAGGTGGCTCCGTGGTAGAGTGCTCACCAGCAGGCATGAGGCCCTGGGTTCGATTCTCAGCACCACACAGACAGAAAGAGGCAGAAGTGGCGCTGTGGCTCAAGTGGTAGAGCGCTAGCCTTGAACAAAAGAAGCTCAGGGACAGTGCCCAGGCCTTGAGTTCAAGCCCAGGACTGGCAAAATAATAACAACAACAACAACAAAATAAAAGATCAAATTCACACACAATAAAATATGTGTTCAACTTGCTTCCTTATATACACATTTTAAACCTATTTCTTTAGTTAACTTTCTATTGATTTTAATAGATATTTTGATAAATTTTTACTTATTACTTTTTTTTGTTTTTTTTGTTCTGGTCGGTCGTGGGGCCTGACTCTGGGCCTGAGCGCTGTCCCTCAGCTCTCTCTTCAGCTCAAGGCTAGTGCTCTATCACTTGAGCTACAGCTCCACTTCCTTATTACTCCTTTAAAATAAAACTTACTCAAAAATATTGTGAACCCAGGAAGTAAAAAGTAAAACACTTTATTTTTCAGCTACAGAAAAAGTTAATTTTACCAAACTGGGGAGTTTTTTGGTCTGTGTACGGGTCCTGGGCTTGAAGTCAGGGCCTGGGCGCTGTCCCTGAGCTTTTTTACTCAAAGCTAGAGCTGTACCACGGGGGCCATAGTTCCACTTCTAGCTTTTTTGCTGGTTTACTGGAGATAAGTCTTGTGGGTTTTCCTGCTGGGGAGGAGGGGGGGGGTTCTTGGAACTGGGATCCTCAGATCTCAGCCATCAGTAGCTGGGATGACAGGCGTGAGCCACCCACACCTGGCCAATGTGGGGAATGTTTACCTGCTTCCATTATTGGAGACAAACTTGTCATAGAAGAGCCAATCATTTGAAGGAAAAGACAAACCCGTCTTTAAAGGATTTTCTAAATTTCAGGCATGGTGGTAGGCACCAGGGATGCTAAAGGGAGACATGAACCAGAGCTCCATGTGAGTGAGTGTAATTAACGCCCGGGCTCCCCTCGCCGTGGACATTAATACAATAATGATAATAATTAATATGTAACGTCCGTTGCTGTGGACAGGCAGACGCTGTCAGCACAGACGCACTTCCAGGGTGACGTGGGAGCAATGAGACCACGTCCTTTTGGCCCCTCTTTGGCTGCTTTTCCCTGGGCGAGTTAGAGGCCTCTGCTTCACCGTGAGAACGGGAGAGACGGGTGGCGCAGGCCTCCACTGCTGAGACGGCCATGACCTATCATTACTAATAGCTCGAACCGCGATGTTACTTATCGATTGGATGGATTATACGTTAGTATATTAATTACAGATCGCTCGCTGACTAGATGGATTATAACTTGTATAATTACATATCTATATAATTTCTGTATACTATTGATTAGATGGCTATCCATTAGTAATTACAGGTTAGTTACGGATCACTCGCCGGTTATAGCTGACGCAGTATCGGCGCGTATTAACCGCATGTTATCACCGCTCACGTCACTATAATGCACACCGT